GGCTGCAGGATTGTAGCTCTTCTTGCTTCTTCTGTCTGCCCTCTGGTGGATGAAGCTATCTAAGAGGCTTGTGTAAGTTTCCTGATGGGAGGGACTGGTGGTGGGTAGAGCTGACTGTTGTTCTGGTGGGCAGAGCTCAGTAAAACTTTAATCCGCTTGACTGTTGATGGGTGGGGCTAGGTACCCTCCCTGTTGGTTTTTTGGCCTGAGGCAACCCAAAACTGGAGCCTACCTGGGCTCTTTGGTGAGGCTAATGACAGACTCTGAGAGGGCTCACGCCACGGAGTACCTCCCAGAACTTCTGCTGCCAGTTTCCTTGTCCCCAAGGTGAGACACAGCCACCCCCTGCCTCTGCAGGAGACCCTCCAACACTAGCAGGTAGGTCTGGTTCAGTCTCCCCTGGGGTCACTGCTCCTTCTCCTGGGTCCCAATGCACACACTACTTTGTGTGTGCCCTCCAAGAGTGGAGTCTCTGTTTCTTCCAGTCCTGTCAAAGTCCTGCAATCAATTTCCACTAGGCTTCAAAGTCTGTTTCTCTAGGAATTCCTTCTCCCGTTGCCAGACCCCCAGGTTGGGACGCCTGACGTGGGGCTCAGAACCTTCAGTCCAGTTGGTGGACTTCTGTGGTCCAAGTGTTCTCCAGTCTGTGAGTCACAGCAGTTATGGGATTTGATTTTACTGTGATTGCACCCCTCCTACCATCTCATTATGGCTCCTCCTTTGTCTTTGGATGTGGAGTATCTTTTTTGGTGAGTTGCAGTGTCTTCCTGTCAATGATTGTCCAGCAGCTAGCTGTGATTCTGGTGTTCTCGCAAGAGGGAGTGAGAGCACATCCTTATACTCCACCATCTTGGTTCCTCTCGAGGTTTCAATATTTTAAAGTTAGCTTTGTATAGGAACAACTTTTTTTTTTTAATTATTCTTTTTCTCAGCAGTTTCTTTTTTTAAAAAATAAATTTATTTATTTATTTTTGGCTGCAGTGCGTCTCCGCTGCATGCAGACTTTCTCTAGTAGTGGCGAGCAGGGGCTGTTCTTCGTTGCGGTGCGCAGGCTTCTCATTGCAGTGGCTTCTCTTGTTGCGGAGCATGGGCTCTAGGCACGTGGGCTTCAGTAGTTGTGGCACGTGGGCTCAGTAGTTGTGGCTCGTGGGCTCTAGAGGGCAGGCTCAGTAGTCGTGTAGCACAGGCTTAGTTGCTCCGCAGCATGTGGGATCTTCCTGGACCAGGGCTCGAACCTGTGTCCCCTGCTTTCGCAGGTGGATTCTTAACCACTGCGCCACCAGGGAAGTCCCATGAACAACTTCTGAATTCTAAATTTTATTGTATTTTAGTATGATGTATATTTAAAACACTGCTTTTTCTATTTAGAAATTAGTTCACCTGTCAGGTCTGGAATATTCTCTGCTTTCACTTCTAAACAACTTAAACAAAAGGATACTAATTAAAGGGGGGAAAGGGGTAGTGGTGGTGGTGGTGGGATGAACTGGGAGATTGGGATTTACATATATACACCAATATGTATAAAATGGATAACTAATAAGAGCCTGCTGTAGAAAAATAATAAAATAAAATTCAAATCAATAAATAAAATTAAAAAGCAAAAAAAAGATACTAATTTAAAAGGCTAGCAACTGGACTTCCCTGGAGGTCCAGTGGTTAGGACTCTGCACTTCCACTGCAGGGGGCACAGGTTCGATCCCTGGTCAGGGAACTGAGACCCCGCATGCTGCACAGTGTGGCAAAAAATAAAAAAGGCTAGCAACTGATGTCTTCAATAGTGAAAATTTTCACTATTGCTTTCATGTCAGAGATGTGGGGGAAAAGGGAATGGTTGAGTGGAAATAACATTTTTAAGCATTAAAAAGGTACAAAGGAGAGGAAATTGTCACAATTTACATTGAATCTTCCACTGACTGCTGAAATTCTCCACTTGAAAAGCTGATCTGGGAGAAAAGAAGGTCATAAAGTCTGCTTTTTAGACAGAGAAATATGTCTATGTCTATATTATTTCTATCTCAAGCAATTACTAAAATATTTCCAAAACGAACAAAGCTATTTTTCTATAGAAAACCAGTGAAATGAACATAGTAATTAACTATTTTTTAAAAATCTGTAAATGGGATCCTAGCCAATTTTAGAAGTACAGCAAAGCCTCCCTAGTTCAGAATAGTCAGAAGGAAACTTCTCTCACTCATTACACAAGCATGTGTTAAGAAATCCTACTTCACACACACAAGATGCTAGTACACCCAGTGAAAAACTAGGATTATATTGATTTTCAAAAAATGTATATAATCTGTGTTATTCTCCAATGGTGAATATGTTATAGAAGTAAAAAAGAAAAGCAAGAAAAGGAGCGGAAGCATGAAACACCTTAGTTTAAACTGGGCCCACAAATATCTGAGTTCTAAGTCAGAGAGCTCTTGTGAGAGGAGGAAAACTAGACTTGGCATCATCAGCTGGTGTTCAGTACAAGCCCAATGCTTTCACTAATGTTCAGGGGAAATGCTCACACCAGAAAACATCCACTTGAAGTGAATATACTTTAAATTTCATCTTCCCTATCTGACCCAGCATATTATACTGTTCCTTAGTATTTCAAGTGGCAGTGAGTACTACATAGCCCAGATAGTGATTTTTTTTTTCTGATCTATGGTTTTTGTATTAATTGAAGTACAGTTGATTTATATGTTCTTTTTCAGATTCTTTTCCATTATAGGTTATTACAAGATATTTAATATAGTTCCCAGTGCTATACAGTAGTAGGTGCTTGTGGTAGTAATGTTTTATATAGTATATGTCTTCATAAACTGGTAGCCCAAATCAATTATATTCCATTTCGAACTGAGCAAAAGGAATCAAGGCATGCCACTATATCATAAGGGAGTGACAATAACTATTAAATGAAATCTTAATTATAAATCTAAGATTGCTCTGGAGGTTCTACGGAAAGTAATGCCAAAATAAGAGCTAAAAATTTTCTCAAACCCAGACCATATTCCCTTAAATAACAATGACTTAAAATACTGATATGATGCAGCTACTATGGAAAACATTGTGGAGGTTCCTCAGAAAACTAAAAATAGAATTACCACATGATCCAGCAATCCCACTCCTGGGCATATACCCAGACAAAACCATAATTCAAAAATATACACACACCCCTATGTTCACAGCAGCACTATTCACAATAGCCAAAACATGGAAATCACCTAAATGTCCATTGACGAATGAACAGAGAAGATGTGCTACATATATACAATGGAATACTCCTCAGTCATAAAAAAGAATGAAATAATTCCATTTGCAGCAATGTGGATGCAACTAGAGATTATCATACTAAGTGAAGTAAGTCAGAAAGAGAAAGACAGGGACTTCCCTGGTGGTCCAGTGGCTAAGACTCTGCACTCCCAATGCAGGGGGCCCCGGGCTCGAGCCCTGGTCAGGGAACTAGAGCCCACATGCTGCAACTAAGAGTTCATGTGCTGCAACTAAAAGATCCCGAGTACCACAACGAAGACCCTGCCTGTGGCAATGAAGATCCTGAGTGCCGCCAGGAAGACCCGGTGCAGCCAAATAAATAAATAAATACTGAAAAAAAAAAAGAAAGAAAGAAAGAAAGAAAGAGAAAGACAAATACCATATGATATCACTTATATGTGGGATCTAAAATATGGCACAAATGAACCTATCTACAAAACAGAAAGAGACTCACAGACACAGTGAACAGACTTGTGGTTGCCAAGGAGGAGGTGGGTGGGGGAGAGAAGGACTGGGAGTTTGGGATTAGCAGATGTCAACTATTATATGTAGCAAGGATAAACAGCAAGGTCCTACTATATAGCACAGGGAACTATATTCAATATCCTGTGATAAACCATAATGGAAAAGAATATAAAAAAAAGAACGTCTGTGTATACCTGAGTTAGTTTGCTGTAAAGCAGAGACTGGCACAACATTGTAAATCAACTATACTTCAATAAAAATAAATAAATTAAAATAAAATTAAAATAAAATACTGATATGAAACTTTCACTGGAATGTGAAGGGGATCTTTAGAATCTTGAACTTCAAATATATAGGAGTATTTATTTAGAGGCTACTTTAAAATTTATGTCATGTGACCTCTAGGGACCACTGAAATTTCTGGAAAGGGTCAGCTTTTCCTTAAGTGCCACTCCAAGAACTGGTTGGTGACTACCACATTTGCATGCTATGAAGAAATGTTATTCAAATGACAATCTATAAACAACAATATGAGTATTAAATAAATTATATTTTAGAGCTAATTCCAATAGGATATATTTATTTTTTAAGGAGGTACAGTTGCTTGTTTAATTATTTGTTTCCAACCCTCAATCTAAAATACAAGTCTATCTGCCTAAAACTAAGTGTATTTTTGTTAGAAGATGACAGCTAACTTCAGGGGCACAATTTATTACAAACAGACATTTAAAACAACAAAAACAAAAAAAGTGGGGATAGGCATGAACTTAATTCTTCTATTTAATGGATAACAAGAAAGCAAAGAAATCTTTGAGACCCAAATATCATAGCATGGTTTTCAGGAAAGGACTTGGTGAATTCCTCAAACTTTCACCATAGGGCTATATTAAATTTCCTTTTGGCAACAAATAAATTGCTTTCTCACTGGTGGAAGCTTAGACCAGTCATCTAAATCAGGGAAGCAGAACTACATGCCATACTGAAGAGTCACGTAAGTGTAAAACCACGTCTCTCCCCATGGCATGTTTATGTTTTTTCTATAGATTTCCACTAGGGCAGCAGGTGATTATCTAGACTCCTTGACATTTAGGATTAAAAGAAATTATCTAAGCTTTAAAAGCTCGCATAAAAATGTGGAAATATCTATATTTTCTTTATATCTCCTTTGATGATGAAACATTTGGATATGAAATTTGATAAGAATGCCCTGAAGAGGAAATAGGGTTCCTATAATCAACGGGGAAACAAGACAGACCCATGGAGTCCTGTTGCACCTGTGACACTGTGATGCTGCATTTCTTGGCCAGCTCCTCTTTGGCTTCTTCACTGGGGTAGGGGTTGCTGAGGTGTGAGTAAAAGTATTCATTCAAGATTTCTGTGGCCTGTTTACTGAAGTTACGCCTTTTTCGTCTATGAAAGAACCAAAAAGAGAATTGTCGTTATAATCAACATTAACCAAAGAGGGATGTACTACTTAGGATCACACAAAAAAGTTCGCTTTCTGTTTTTAAACATTCTTAGGGTGTAATTAATCACCATGATGTTGTAAATTATACTCTTTGCATCCTCCAAAGAACTATCCAACTCACGTGAAGACGTAGGATAACTAAGAAAAATACTAGAATGTGAAGCACAATTAACTTCATCCTTTAATTTGTTCAACAAATACTTATTGAGGATCTAATGTGTTCTAGATACTCAGTGAGGATCCAGTTGGAACAAAACAGAGAAGGCCTATTAGGGAGCTCACAGGGGATTAGAGGGTTAAGAGAGAGAGTAGAGAGTTAGGGGAAAGAAAAACATTAGACAAGCAACACAGAAATTAATAATTATAAATTACAGTAACCATGTCCAGTATCATGAAGGAAAAGTATAATGTATAATGAAAGTGTCTAAGAAGGAAACCTAACACAGATTATGGAGTCAGGAAAGGTTTCCTTGGAAGAGTGACATTTAATCTGAGGCCTGGAGAATGTGTATAACTTAGTCAGACAAAGAGTAGAAGGAAGAGGAATGAGCAGAGGGAATGGTCTTCAAACAGGAAAAAAGCTCGGAAAGTCCAAAGTGCTAGAGGAGGCTGGAGCACAGTAAAAACAGGGAATATGTGAGATGAGTCTGGAAGGATGGACAAGGGCCAGATTACACAGGCTTAGTGGACCCCATATGGATTTCTGAATTTTATTTTAAGTGCAATCGGAAGTATTAAAGGTTTTAAGTTTTACATTTTAAAAAGATTATTTTGACTACTGAGAATAGCTGAAGGAGGGGATGAAAGGAAATGTAGAGATATTTAAGGAGACAACTACAGTGGTCAAACTGAGAGATGATGGTAACTTGGCATAGGGAGAGAATAATGGAAATAAAAAGATTCAAGGTCAATTTGAAAGGCAAAAGCAATAGGACTTGATAATAAATTGGATGGGGGGGTGGGTGGGTGGGGAAGACAGAGAAGGAAGGTAAGGAAAAAAAAATACATCAAGGATTTCTGGATTTTTCTGCTTCAGCCAACTGCCTGGACTGAGGTATGGTTTGCTTAACAGGGAAAGAGTAGGGGAGGACTAATTCTTTGTTTTTACTGGGAGGGGGTGGCAGAATGTCAGAAGATCAAGTATTTGTTGACAATTTATTTCAAATAGCAAAAATGTCATTTACATTTGGGTTTTATTTTGAAGATTTTAAAGAATTCCAGCCTGAAAATTAGCATTTGTCAGATTTCACTTTAAATTAAATTCTCCAGTAACTGGAAAACACTTTCCCCAAACAATTTTCTTAATATTGCCTTACAAATAATCTTAATGATCTTAATTGTGATATCCTATACTCAGGAAAGACAGCGTCAGTAGGCAGTTGTAAATGTGTATACCCTATGAGATTCTTCTAGTTAAAATGATGTCACTAATGTGGCAGGTTAAGTATGTGATCTATGTTTCAACATTCAGGGAGAGTCAAGGGAGCAAGAAATCTCGGTCTGATCAAAACATCTCAAGTTATGAGCCCTGAAACTTCTTAATTTCAATAATTTTTTGGAAGGTTAAACCATTGTTTCCTGAGGGATGAAGAATAGATTCAGGATCTATTTGGGAATTAAAATCAACAGGATTTGATGATGAACTGGATGGGGGAGGTGGTGAGGGAAGACAGATGAAAGAGAAGTACACCAAGAATAGCAATCAGCATTTTTGCAGGAGTCAGGCATTGCTTGACAAGAAAAACAAAGCCCTGACCTGGGGCACTTTGAAAAGGCACAGTCTGATGAGTGGGTAGCTGGGTGAATAGGATGGAAAAGGTCTAGAATAGATACTGAAACTGTCAAACTTACAGATAATTACCTGGCCCACAGATAATGTTTGTTGAGACAACACAATAATGAGCATAAAAATCTAAGTTTCTGGCTTCTTATGAAAAATTGGAAGATCAGCCACACCAGGCCCACATCATCAGAAGGCAACCACAGGCTAAAGCTAAGTGATGGCTGTCCCCTCAGATATGTACCCGTCTGCTCTAATCCTCACTGCCCCTCATCCAGCCACTCCCCTCAATTCCGTTATATGTAAGTATGTGAGCTTGTGACTCAGTCTAAAACATGAAATCCAGCAGCAAGACCGGGTACAGTGGAGCAGATCACACAAGGGCATTTCTTTGGAAAATGAGGACTTACAAAAGGGGGAATGAGCAGAAACATATTGGGAAAGCAGAAATAAGTTTGGCTCATTTATCGACTTTACCTAGGAGTGGTTTTAGAAAACATCAAAAAACCTCAGAGAACAAATTTATGGGCGGAACAGAATACCTTACCCCAGGCAGTCTGGCTGCATCCAAACTACAGCACTTCTACTAGAAGAGTAGAGGGACCTACACAAATTTATTCCTAACTGTTCTGTACCGGTACATACTTCGGCTTGTCCAATTACCAAGAAAATGTGAGTATGGCTTTACAAAAAGCCAGAGAGAGCAAGGGAATCATATATCTGAATGAGCATGTTTGCCTAGAGCAGAAAAACCGTGCCTTCTCAGTGTAGAGGGCTTGCTAAGAGGCACTACAAGAATAGATGGAAGCAAAACTCAGTATTTGCATTCACTTGAAGGCATAAGAGAGAACTCGGTCTAATACTTCATTTATTTTTTAGAAAAACATTCTGTAGAAAATGCCCATTAAGCATTTCCCCTAAGTTTCATTCCCCCCAGGGTTCACCACACTCTAAATGGCTATGCCTCAGGCCAGTGTGCAGTGGTGCATCAGTCCCAGGGCTGTGTCCCATCAGCATCACAACATTACTGATGGCAGTCTCTGTGGGAGAAGGGGCTCTGCTCCAAGCTCTGCCACCATCTCACTCTGGCTCTGCTCACTCTGGCTTGTTAACTTACTTTCTCTTCTTGGAAGAAAAATAAATCATTTAGGTGTATACATTATGAATGCAGTTATGTTTAAAAAAAAAGAGCATGCATGTTGATAAGAATGGGAAAGTATCCGCAGAAATAAGGATAGCAATTGTGTTAGAAAAGATTCCTTTCTGAAGAAAGTACTTTTAAATATCTTTGTTATGTAATGCTTTTAATTAAAATGCTCAACGTTGACAATTTAAAAATGTTTTTTGTTTTCTGATGCTACTTCCTTAACTCTTTGAGCTATTATAAGTAGTAAGTGGAAATATTCATTCATCTGGTTAGTCAACAAATTATTTTTCTGCAGTCTACTATGTGTAAGACACTTGCTGGAATTGTGGGGAATCTAAACGTGTAAGACTTGGTTGGCCATTGCTTTCCATGACGATGTGACTTACTCGGGAAGAGAAGAAATGATCCTGAAAAACTGCAATAAAGGCAGTCTGCATGAAGTTCGGTCTGGAAAATTGTATAAACATAGTATCAGTGTTTAAGAGACGGCAAGGACGAGTCCAGTGGAGTGCTTAAAGTTGGCTTCCTAAAAAGGGAGCATTTAGGCCAGGCCTGAAAGGCTGAGCAAGGTCTCACTAATGCAACCAACATGAGCACCAGCTCTGTTCCAGGCTCCGTGCTACACACCCTCACAGATGACAATTCATTACTGGTGACCAAGTTGGGGAAATGGTTGGGAGAGCAGGGTTTGCTGTGGAAGGCTGGAGGTGGAGGTTGAGGGGTGGTGGTGGAAGAGGTGGTTAGGCAGAAGAGAAGAATTCTCGCCAGAGGAGACAGATGAGACCAAGAGGTATCGCATTTTGGATTAAACACAGGAAAGAACAATTTAGTGATATATTAAGAGCACTAAAAATGTTCACATTTTGATCTAATAATACCATTTCTGAGAATTAATCCTTAGGAAATAATTCTAAAGATCAAAAAGGTTGAATGCATAAAGATTTTCACTGGAAGACTAATTCCAATAAAAATCTGTCTAAAATAGTACCTTCCCTCCATCATTTTCTCTCCCTTTACCTTGCTTTTATTTTTCCTCATGGCACTTACCATTCTATCACATTTCATTACATTATTGAACAGAATACTACAGCATATTTGTTTACTTGTTTATTGTCTGTTTCCCCAAGTAGAATGTAAACTCAATTGGGGCGAGTATGTTAACCTATCCTGTTTACCTTTATAGCCTCAGCACAAATAAATATTTGTAGAAGGAAAGAAGAAAGGAATTGGAAGGAAGGAAGAAGTTATCATGGAAATTAATAGGGACAACTAAATGCTCAAAAATGAAGAAATGGCTAAGTTAATTATTTATCATATATCCATCTGGTAGACTTCAGCAATTAACATTTAAAATAGGAGTTTATACTATATGAAAAATGTTTACCTATTCATGGTAAATTTTTTTGTTTTCTTGCAGTTCGCGGGCCTCTCACTGTTGTGGCCTCTCCCATTGCAGAGCACATGCTCCGAACGCGCAGGCTCAGCGGCCATGGCTCACGGGCCCAGCCGCTCCGCGGCATGTGGGATCCTCCGGGACCGGGGCACGAACCCGTGTCCCCTGCAGCGGCAGGCGGACTCTCAACCACTGCGCCACCAGGGAAGCCCCATGGTAAATTTTTTAAAAAGCAAACCAAATTATGCATATTGTACCATCACAAAGAACATTTAAAAAAAAAAAAAAGTACCACAAACCAGAAAGAAATATACTAAAACGTTCACAGTGACTTTTTTTTTCCATTGGGTAGTAAAAAAGTGATTGTCTTTTATCCCTCGTCCTTCTTTCTATTCTATACATTTTACAACGTTTCCATAGTGACCTTGGTTAAATAGGAAAAATATAAAATAAAACTTAAATCTTAACAACAACAAAAAAGTAATTTGGGCAGGGGCAGGTCACATAAGGCCTCAAATGCCAGGTTAAGTAGTGTGCATGTGAGTTACCCAGCATTGAAAAGCTGCTATGGGGTTCCCTGGTGGTGCAGTGGCTGAGAGTCCGCCTGCCGATGCAGGAGACGCGGGTTCGTGCCCCGGTCCGGGAGGATCCCACATGCCGCAGAGCGGCTGGGCCCGTGAGCCATGGCCGCTGAGCCTGCGCGTCCGGAGCCTGTGCCCCGCAACGGGAGGGGCCGCAACAGTGAGAGGCCCGCTTACCGCAAAAAAAAAAAAGAAAAGCTGCTATGGTTTTTAAGTAAAGCAATTAGGGCATCATAAGAGGGCCATGGAGGATGAGTGGGAGAAGAGTAAGACTGGAAGCAGGGAGAATAGTGGGAAGTTACTGTGGTAGTCTAGGTACAAAAGGATGAACGTGAACTGAGCAGTGCAAGTATGGAAGGAAAAAAAGAGCTAGAACGAGAAATGTTGAAAACAAAGCACTGGTGAGTTCTAATGACTAACTCAGTACGGAAGAAGGAGGAACCAAAGGCGATACGGGGCTTGGCTTAACCAGGAGAACGGGAGTATAATCAGGTGGCATATGTTTCCTTATTCGGCTCTAAGGAAGAGCTCTGGCATGAAGATTGTTCCTCACATCTTGTTTTCCAGTTGAGATGCTAACCTATTTTCTTTAATATTGTAAAATTTGGACGATAATCATCACCTCTGTGAGATTCCAAGGGAGAGAAAACAAAACAAAATAGAAACCCCTTTCCACCGTTGAAGATTGATTGCAAGCTTTAGCAATGCCCAAGAGGCATCTCTGCAGAGGCAGCATATAGTAGGAACTTGACAGTTCCTCTGTTATGTCACCTAGTAGGTCTAACACACCATATACAATTTATTACCTAATTCCTGTGAAACTTGGTGACAGCTTCAGATAAAAGGGAAATATGTATCCTGAGAGGGGAAACTCACAGGCTTTCTTCTTGATTTGGAAAAACAGAGGTTGGGGTTTTGTGGTAACTATAATACCACTTCCTTCTTAGGAATATCAGTATCTCCAAGTACTTTTTTTCTAATATGCACAAGCAACGTAACATCAGGAAGTTCTTAGAAAACAAACCTGCATTAAAACAAAGTTACATACTGAACATTATCCTTAAATATACGTTTTAGCATCAGAACTGAAAGGCTATGTATTACTAAGTCATTAGTAGTGGCACTAATCCTATTTGTTTCCTGAGTCACCAAATTGGCAGCTAATAGCACTACCACCCCCAGACAAGAAGAGGCTTGACAGTGCAGGCACCATGAGGTGAATTACCTGTCCAATGTAGAGAAGAGCTCTTATAGCCAAATTAAAGAAGAATCTAAGACCAATTGGCCAGGATTACAGAAAATAATACACAAAGAGTGAAAATAAAAATTTTAAAAAGCCATGCAATAGATTTGTGGCCTCACATACCTGGCATCAAGGAACCTTGATCTTAAAATCATAACTGCTTCACAAGTGCTTTGTTTGAGCTGCATCTGAATGGAACTAAATTTTCGATGGATGATGCCCACCATTCTTTCAATCTCTTTTGGGGAAATGGGACGTGTTCTACTCTGCTCTCGGAGAAGGTTCATCACGTGTGTAGTGAATTCATTACATGCCTGTAAGGGGAAAAAAATCACTCCTTAGGAATCTGGTATTTTGTATTATCACACCTAGACATTAACTCATCTGAATTTCTACCTCATTTGCAGTTGCCAATGGCATTATGCAGTAGGTAGGGTAAAATGAAAACTAAGACACTTGTGAAATGGCAGTGATAGTTAGATGGGGCGCAAGAATTCTGAAACTATGAATGGCCAGGCATGCAAGGGAAGCACAGCACTCAACTGCCCTTCCCACCACCCTTGTCCCTGTTCAAAGATGAGGTTTTCCCACTGGAGGATGCTCTCTACCAACTGCTATATGTAAGTACAAATATATGTTAATTGTTAATACTAAGTACCTCCTATTTTCTTTGGGGTTTTACATTTATTCCACAAATGTCTACTGAAACACTATGAAGTTCAAACTCCTCCAAGAGCGATTAAGGACACATAAATGAGCAAGATGTGCACCTGACTTTCAGTGCAATAAAATATATAAAAAACGAATTCTTAAACAAAGCAGACCATGTAAAGTATCACAGGAAAATATGAGTAAGTGCTTCCTAAGTTCCAAGGAGGAAATATTCTCATCTGGAAGCAGAGATCACTTCATGGGAAAAGTGACATTAGGGCTTTAAAGGATGGGTAAGATTTTTGAAAGGTGGAATAAAGGTGGAAATCAAGAGGAATTTCAGGCACAAGAAAATATCCTGGAAATCATGGTATATAGCAAGTCCACAGGGACAGAGAGAATATGTAAAGGAGAAGAGGGAATTCAGATTTGCACTAGCATGTAAAGGGCCTCTGATACCATGCCAATGTCCTAGTATAATTTAGCTGTGGTGTGGGCCTTATTTGTGGATATATGCCATTCCTAAAACATGGGTAAAGCAGCTCAGCTCCTCAGGGGAGGGGCAGCAGGAAAATAAGGATCAGATTTGGGTCTCAAACTTTTTAGTTAACAATCCTCAGTCCCTGTCTCTTTCAGCCCACCTATATTTAGATCTATAAAACCACATAACTGGGCCTACAAAGAAATCCAGTATTGCCTTGGTAAATAAAGCATCTGTCTGTATCTCTGGATAAAAAGAACATCTTCTGGCATTTTTGTTTAAAAAAAAAGACAGGAGATTCTGCACCTTACTGCACAGATGCCTCTAGTAGGGTGAGCAGACAGAACAATCATTGATCATGGCAAGATGCATTCTGAAGATATAATAATGTCCACTTCCCTACAGATATCCCGAACATACAGCACATGATGGTTTTTCTAACTGCTCATTAGAGAACTAACTAACCTTTTAAGTACACTGGCTGTTTCAGTTACTTTAAGCTTTTATGGAGCTTTTATATAAATATTTCTAAGGTGAGGTAAAATGAGTCTGGCTTACCAAAGTTTTTTTTAAAATATGTTTAAGTCTTAAGAATTTTAAAGTTCCTTGTGAGTGGTGACTCTGGGGTTCTTCAGAGTACAGATTTGTGCAACACACACAGTATGCATCCAATAAACATCTATGGCTTGGTGGGGTTTTGTATTATAATTCAAGAGTAATGTTGATTAATATCTGTAAATACATTATCCCTGAACCTTTGTAAGTGAAGGATTTTTAACCTGCAGTCCATGGATAGGTTTAGAATGTCCATGACTCCATGAAATCTTATTCAAGTTGTGTGCACGTCTGTCTTTCCCGAGGAGACAATCTGTGGGGTTTTTGTTTGTTTTTGTTTCAGATTCTCAGCCAGTCTATAATTTTAAAAGGCTAAGAATTACTGTCCTAGGTTATGGCACAGTAAAACATTAAGGAACTTTGCAGCTCTAAAATCGGAAGTTCTTTCCATCTTTAAGGAAACCATAATAAAGAAAAAAGTAAATTTAAGATTTTCCCCACTATATTGTCAACTTAAACTATTTTGTGCCAAGCTGAAAATAGGTGGTCACCCTGTCAAGAAATATATGTACAGATCTTTTTTTCTTGTACAATACTTTCCCTAAAGAGATGTTCATATAATTTCAAATTACATAATTTAATAAACACTAGCCCTCAGTTTTCTTATTAGTAAAATGAAGGAAAGTAAACTAGAACAGCAAACTGGAATCAGCAAGTTCTGATAGACACTTCTACAGCTAATTCCAAAAAATGTTAATACAGTATGTTTGGGAAATATGGGGCTAACCAAAATTTTAAATGCTTTTTTTTTTTTTGAGGGGTGTGGGGGCAGGATTCCTCAGTACTTCCAGTATGCCAATATGCATCATAAATCTTCAAAGGAGAATGGTATATCCAACTTTTCCCAAATAAATTTGGTCACAAAACCTCTTTTCTCTAGAGCAGTGCTGTCTAAAAGAATACATTGTGAGCCACATATGAAAAAAAATATGGGGGGTCATTTAATGTTTTTTCTACTGCACTGATTATTTTCTGAATGTGTTTTATTTTTCTCATATGAAATGTAAAATTTTTCTAGTAGCCACATTAAAAAATAAGAATCAGGTGAAATTAATTTTAACATATTTTATTTAACCCAATATATGAAAAATATTAACATTTCAACACATAATCAAGATCTTTAGATAACTGTTAATGAGATATGTTACATTCTTTTTTTCATACACTTTGAAAACCAGTATATATTTACATTTACAGCACATCTCGGTCCAGATTAGCTAGATTTCAAGGGCTCAATAGCTACATATGACTAGTGGCAACCGTATTGGACAGCACAGCTCTACAGCATCTTGTGGACCAATGTACTAAGTAAGAAAAACTCTTTGGGAAACAGTATACTTAGTAATCTCTGATGTTTCTTTTTTATTCTTCATCACCATGCATTCACACAAACCCACAAAAAAAAGGCAGTTTCACTTAGGAATGTCCTTGATGAAGCAAGAGAAATCATTCATTTTATTACATCTCAATCCTTGACTACGACTTTAATATTCTGTGTGATAAAACGGTAAACACCGTTTAAAACCAAAAGCACTTCAATTGCTTATAGAAGGATGGTTGTCTTGAGAAAAAACACTTGTGCGATAGTTTAAGTTGTGAGCCGATGCTGTCTTTTTCAGGGAACACCATTTTTATTTGAAAGCGAAGTCAACAAATTATAATTATTCAGACTTGGGTATTTTGCAGATATTTTCTCAAAAATGAACCAAGCAAGCCTGTCACATCAAGGAAAACAGCCGACAACAGTTGTGCCAATGATGAAATTTGACTTTTCAAGTGAAAATTATAATTTTGGAAAACTTGCATCCACTACCTTGAGCTTGATAGTCTCCTAGCAGACTTTCTGAATAATTGGTGTTGATATTAGTAAATATGATATTTTGCTATTATATAATGCCAAGTGTTAACATTAGAAGATGTACATAATTCAGTGAAACAATATTTTCCAAATGATCAAAGCATTATGTTACAAAAAAATGCATAGGTAGAAGATCCATTCAAAGTGCACACTAGACCAAGTTTAAAGGAATTTAAAGGATTTTTTTTTTTAAGGAATTCCTTTAAAGGAATTTTAAAGGATTTTAAAGGAAGGGAGTACAAAACGTTGATATGATTTCAGATTCATTATAACTAACCTTTAAGACAATACAACTTGTCAAGTTTTGGTATAATATCAGAGGAAAGTATCCATAATTATCAGAAAGGCTATTAATACACTCCTCCCTTTTCCAATGACATCTTTGTGTGAGGCCAGGTGTTCTTCATATACTTCAACCACAAGACAGGAGACTGACCGTAGAAGCACATATAACAATCCAGGTGACTTCTTTTAAGCCCAACATTAAAAAGTTTTGCAAAAATGTAAAAGCAGTGCCATTCTTCTCACTAAATGTTGAGGTTTTTTTGGCAAACACAGGCTTTTAAAAATATTATAGTGAATAGATAATAGTTTATCATTGTTTCTTAAATACATACTTTTATTTTTTCTCAGTTTTAACTTCTATTATAATAAATGTTGATAGATAACAACGCACTGAACGAAAGCTCTTAGGGGGTCTCCAATAATTTTTAAGAATTCAAGTCATGGGCTTCCCTGGTGGCGCAGTGGTTAAGAAACCGCCTGCCGATGCAGGGGACATGGGTTCAAGCCCTGGTCCAGGAAGATCCCACATGCCGTGGAGCAACTAAGCCCGTGCACCACAACTACTGAGCCTGTGCTCTAGAGCCCGCAAGCCACAACTACTGAAGCCCGCGTGCCTAGAGTCCATGCTCTGCAACAAGAGAAGCCACTGCAGTGGAAAGCCCGCGCACCGCAATGAAGAGTAGCCCCTGCTCTCTGCAACTAGAGAAAGCCCGCGTGCAGCAACGAAGACCCAACGCAGCCAAAAACAAATAAATTAAATAAATAAATTTTTAAAAAAAAATGAATTCAAGTCCTAAGACCAAAACGTTTGAGAACTAGCTGTACTGGAGTATTTCTAATTTGCACATGTAATAATGCTAATTCCTACAAACCTAGCTCAAACATTATGGTAACATATATCTATGACAGAGTGTATGTCTTGATAAATAATTCAAGACTCCTGTGTGTGATACCTGAGGGGTTTTTTTTGGTTTTTGTTTGTTTCAGCTTTCCTCTGGCTCTCAGTTTTTCTCTGGCTATATTTTAATCTCTTCAGAATGAATGTTTGCCTATCGTTTCTAAGAAGCAGCCACAAGCTTGTGTGAAAAAAAGTGTTAAAAGCAAAAAGTTTCTGCATCTAAAAACTCATAATTTCCTAAAACATTTGCTGAATGTCTCACAACTTATTAAGTGAAGTCATCTATGAATGCAAATGCTGATTAGCAATTTGGCAATAGCCCAACATTCACAGAATTCACATAGCTTTTCTTTAAACCAGTAGTTCACACATGATTAATTAGAACATCTCATTTATGTAGTGTGCACTTTAGCTCATTACTCTAAGTAAAATTCGTTAAGTATTTACATTTAGATAATTAAAATCCGGGTACACCCTTAAGAAAGATGCATACACTTTAGGCAAAGTGATTTTTTTCCTTTATACCACTGAAAGTAAATTACAGCCTCATTTACAGCATCATGTGTACCAGTTTCAGAGCAGAGCATAGTACTGCCTCATCTCCAGATCCTTAAAAGATATACATTTTTTAAACATATAAGTGCAGTAAGAATGATCAAATGATTGCAGAGTTGTTTTGAAGGGCCACCCAACCACACACTAGCATCAATGCTGTTTAAAATGTAAGATGCTCACTTCAAACATTTATCATATCCTCTGTCATACCTACAAGACTATATTATTAAAATAGACATTGGAAAAAATTTTCATTGCCTTATTATTTTTCCAAGTAAAATTGTCAGTTAAGAATTTTCTGGTCAATGTCCACAATACAAATGTAGAAACAACTTGGTCAATTGGGAGATTTAGGAAAGAAGAGTTTTGATTCCTTGAATTTTCTGAATAACGAGTAATGGCAAAAACCTCTTTTTCTCTTAATCCAGCTGTTGAAAATTATCTAGGATGCATTGTTTTACATCCTAGATAATTTCTGTTTACAATGTAACAAAAATGTATGTTTTGTTTAAAACATACATTGGTAATAACATAAAGTCAACATAAAGTGTGGAATGCTTCATCTGATAAAAAATATTTTCAACCAATTCTTATTATGAGCCTTTCTCTCCTTGCCATTTGTTCCTTTCTCCTTAAAAACACAAACCAAGTAATATAATGGAGGATTTGAAATATATGGATTTTTTATAATGTTGTTAATGATATTTGTTAGCTAGTAAAACTATATCCTCGATATCTACATGTATTTGGATTTACACTCAAAATTAGTTTTCAGGGTTTTGTTTGTTTTGTGGTGATGGTTTTTTCGGTGGTGAATTCAAGATTCAACCCCTTTCTTGCCTGTAAGTTCACATCACTGAACATAAAAATGTAAAATCAGACGGTGAGCAAGCACTTATTTTTGAGGAAGTTTTAAAATGGTTCATGATCAAATCTAAAAACTGAACTGGCCTTTTGTAACCATCTAGAGAAGCTGATTGCAGACAACAGATCATAACACTCTCTATGCTAAAAATCCACTCTTCAAAGAAAGAATAAATCTCTATTAAAAGCTGATGATTCTCTAATTTGCAAGCATCCATTTTCTAGATGTCTTTATAACCTTGCAAGTAACTCTAGTCCAGTATTACAGATTTTGTATTTATGTAATGCTTATTAAATCAACAAATTATTCTTGTTTTAGGATAAGAGTCAAATTGAAAGATACTTTCTAAGCCAACTAGAATGAGACCAATATGCCTAAGAAACAGCTGCAAAGATGAAATATCTATCTTTTTTTTTAATCGGAGTATAGTTGGTTTACAATGTTGTATTAGTTTCTGCTGTACAGTAAAGTGAATCAGTTATACATATACATATAACCACTCTTTTTTAGATTCTATCGTACCTCAACAAGTCTCAACATAATCACGTGGTTTATGGACCTATCTCATGAGGGTTTTGTAAGGATTATATTATATAATACATGTTAAGTTCTTTGAAGAGTCTGGAACACAATTAACACTTAATAAATGGGAGTTATTGTTGAAAGTAGAAATGACAATTTTATGAAATTCATATTGTGTGTGTCATTCTGCAAGTAAGTCCCTACTCTGATTACCTAATATAGTTGTGTCTTCCCATTGCCAGAATAAATACAAACACTGCTTCCAAAGAAATTGAAAAAAAAAAGAAAAGTATTCAAATATAAAACAATTCATTTCATTAATCAAGTTTGTGGTCAAAGATACATTTGGTACAAAGAGCCAATAGACTAGAAACTTGGAGGAAAAAAGGGAACACTCAAACACTCCTTCCAGCCAAGGAAAAGACGCAGCGTGAAAGCTGACAAGAAGTAAAACCCTTCTCTTGGAGCAATGAATGACAAAGTCTTGTTTGGGAAAAATAAATATAAAGTTTACATCAGGTAGTACCCTTTTACCTTTCCTGATTTTTTTTTTTTTTTTTTTTTTGCTATTAAGAAAATAGCAAAATGGGATTAGGAGTTTGTGGGTTACACAATGTCTAATGTAATAACATCAGCATTTTAAAACCTGATTAAAAAAAATTCTTTACAAGCAAAGGAGATCTTGACAGCAAATATAAACACACAATGTTGAGAGCCTCAAAAAGCACAAGGCCATGATGCCTTTAAGTGGTTTAGGTTGCACATTCATTCTCCATTCCCTCTGCAATCCCCTGTAATCTGAAAGTCCTCTATTAGCTAAACAGTACCTAATTGGTCTTGAGCACACTGAGTGTACATGCGTGGCTCCAGTGCTTTACCTGATTTGAGGTGAATTCAAAAGACATCTGCGAACTCAGAAAGCAGGTTCCCAGATGGTTGGGGGAGGGTTGGGACCCTTACAACACTTTTGCCTTCAGCAAAAATGTATTTCAATATAATTATAGGAGATAGCTTTCAATATGTCATCTCTGTTATAGCAGCTGTAAATTATGAAGTGAATTGCTTGTGTACAAGCACTTCTTCTGGAACAAGCAAAGTGGGAGAGCTGCATAAGGCATGATATATATCTTTTCTTTTTTAACTGAGAACAAATCTCTAAGTCAAATTTCATTTGCAAAAACCAATGTATCCATTTCCCTTTGGTAGAGAGGCAGAGGAAACAAGACCCTCAATTCTTTAAAACAGGCTTCCCAGGACCCTTGGCTCAAGTTCATTAGGAATTCACCTATTCTAATAGTCGGGCCTTTAATCATAAGAGCATATTTGAAAGATACAGTAAAAACATTTTTCAAAACTTGTAGCTAGTCCCATCCCATAGTTCAGGATGCCATATAAGCCTCCATTGTCTGGCTGCCTTTGGGTCTTATATGGGGATCCCATGTGTACAAAATAAAAAAAATTTGTTTTCCTCCTTTTAAAACAAAAAACTTGTAGCTAATCAACAAGAAGACAAGCAACCAGGTCTTCCTCCCAGCTAAAGAGGAAGGCAGTGCAACCAAGACAAAAGCATTACAACACAGTTGCTGCAAGCTTTGAAAAATTATCATATTCCTCTTGGTCGTCAGGATCAACAAAAGTAAGTTTTGGTTTTCCTTTTAGGTGATAGTAATATTCAAGAATCTTACTTTAATATATATTCTATGCCTAATATTTCAAAAGCATTTATAAGTGAATCTAGATGGTTCTCATTAAGAAGCATTACATCTGAGCCTATGTAATGTAAACACATGATCAAAGGACATTTTCTGGAGAAAAAAAGGACAGGATTTTAAAAAACAGTACCATTCCTAAAACATACACAGAAAGCTGAGCCTTGCAGCTTGGATTTAATTTTGCTCTAACTGTAGCTCTAGTCTGCTTAGCTTTGTAAATGTGGCTGCGTTTATAAGGTACTTTAATTTACTGCAGTGGCGGTGTTTGTTAATTTTATGGCAATCTAAATCTAAACAGGCTTCAGATACATTTTCATTACAGCTTCATTGCAAAACACAGTGGAGTGAACAGCTCTAAAATTCCAATATTGTTTATTTCTTTTAGTAAAAGACTCAACACAATTTTCTGACAAAGTCTCTGCCTTAACATATATGTTCTTCCTATTTACAAATAAGCATTCTGTCACTCAAAGTACCCATATTCATGTACTTTTAGGAGGAAAAATATAATGTCTGTAAAGTGATTAAAATAGTTGTTTATTTTTCTATCTCTACTCTGATCCTATCCCCAATGCAATCCAACATGGGCAAATAAGAGAAAAATCAGAACGTATCTGAATTATTCGCAAACTGTAATCGTTAAAAACAAGGTAAGAGACCCAAAAGGGAGTCACTTTTGCTATGCCCCAAGTTTCAGCGTCTCCTAGGAATGTAATCTTAAACCAGTCAATCTGGAACTACTGGGCCAGCACCCATGAGGTCATCTGCCTGACAGACTCTGCCAGGACCTAAGGGAAGGCGACCTTGCCACAACGGACCCTCTTTTTGCTAGTATCACTTCCTCGTCCCACTCTTGTCTGCCTGTAAGAGTCTTTCATTTCGTACAGCTCCTGGGAGCTCCTTTCTATGAGCTAGATGAGATGCTGTTCAATTCATGAATCACTGAATGAAGCTAAAAAGATCTTTAAAATTTGGTTGTATTTTATTCTTTAACATACATAAGTAGCAGCATAATTCAATGGAAAAAGAAGGCATATTGTCAGAAACTGATTTCAAAACCTGATTCTGACACTAACTAGATGTGTGACACTGGACAAATTACTTCACCTAAGTCTCATTTTCTCATCTGTAAAATGTAATAATGCCACCATCTAGTTTAGAAATGCCACCCCTTCATCTCAGTTCTTCGTAGCCCTTCTAGTAACTCCAAAGTATATCCCTGAAAGTTCTATTTCAGATAAAGCCCTGTATCCCAAAAATATGAAAAGAAAAGACCATCTTATGTCAACTCACTGATCTGAACAAACTTAGGAACTACAGACAGAAGAGCAATAAAAGCCAGCTTCAAAGACAGCTCAAGAGAACTAAATGCTGCTATGTTCTTTCTAAAACAATTCAGAACCTACAGGAGAAAAATTGTAAACTAAATTTCTGTTGAATCAGCCAACTAGTCATGATACTTTATTTGTCCGTAATACTGCAAAGATTTCATGTTATCTATATTTTTCCTTCTGAAAGTGTTAAAAATGAGAAAGGAAATATACATTCAGTGGTTTTTTATTAGGCTACTGAACATATCTAGAAATAAGACTCATGATTACATTTTAAATCTTTGATATTTAAAACAAAAATACATACTGTAGATTAGTCTATGAAGAACTTGTGTGCACATGTGTATTTTTAAAGCAAACAAAACAAAACAAAAACCTTGGTGAAAATGACTGACGCCAGATTCACCCAACTTCCAACAGGGCTAAAGGGAGAAAATAAGGAGGCTGGTGTGAAGAAACATGGCAGAAGATAGTAAGGAATCACCTTAATTTCTCAGCTAAAAAGATGAGCCATTTGACCCCTAATACTATAGATCTTTCCATGCAAGGTGACTCATAGTATTTATTTAGTAAGTACGTACAGATGTATTTAACATAAAGTTATGCAATTAGGGTTATACTACAAATTAGAGTTGTTTTCTACTGTTTATGCTCAGGGCAACCTTTTCAACCATGACTTATTTTGTTTACTCTCAATTATTCATATGTCAAATCAGAAAGCCCAATTCTTTTCATATATATACACAAGACCACTTTTCCAAAATTCTTATTTGCATATCTTCTACCAAAAATTATTCCTACGAATGAGACTAGAGATACAGTATGAGATCCCAGAAAGCCTACTCAGAAAAAAGATAACGTCTTATAATATTAATTTATATTGTATTTTAACATAAAGCTACATAAATCTTTCTACCATTCCTCAAAACACACTCACCTCTGGGACAGAATCCAGCATTTTTTTAATAATACCATATCCAGAATATTAGAGAAGGCAATGAAAATAATAACATATACAACTGAAAGTTTACAGGGAACTTAGAAGAAAAATCAATATCAAAACTGACCAGGGCATCACACTAAGGTGTTTGGACTTTAATAAATGCCTGACTACATAGTGAAGTATTTATGGGTGAAATGACATGACGCCTAGGACTTATTTTAAAATACTCTACCCACCCCCCCCAAAAAAAAAGAGTGGGGGCAAGGGGAGATAGACAAAATAAGATTGACAGAATGTTGATAACTATTTACCTGGATGATGAGTATCTAGGCAGTTCCTTATTTTAGGTTGACTCTATAAAAATGCTAATACACAACTGTTTATGACATAAAAACTTGTTAATTTCATACCATTCAGCTTAATATTCTCTTTATTTTGGGCACATTTAAACATTTCCATAATAATTTTTTTAAATTACCTTTCAGTGAGAATTCCTCAAACTAAGCAGGTTTTTAAACGAACAACTAAAATATGTTTAAAATGAACCACCAACATTTTACCTTGTCTCACTGAATCTAAGACTTACTTATTTTTCCCCACATTTTAACATATCTGAAGTTTGGAAGCATTTTACTATCAATGGCATGTTATACTTCAATTGGGCAGTTAATTTTTTCTTGGTGGTGGTACATAACACCATGATACGGCTTAAAATCAAAGATATCTTAGATTCAAAGAAGTATAGTTAATATAATTGCTGAGAATAGCATTTTTAATCCATACTTTCTAATCAGGAATTTAGCACACAATGCCTAGTGTTCCCTGCCCCAGGAAACCTGTAATTATCTTGGGAGGTCTCCTCAAAGAGAAAGGCCAGAACCCGCTTACTTTGTGAAGTTAGCTCCTTCCCTTTAGCCTGGCATAATCCTGAAGAATTAATTCCTAGGAGGATTCTGTAGCTCACCGCATAGCAGGCAGAGCTCACTATGCAATGCTTCCCTTTAAAAGTTGTTATAATAGCTATGAATGAGGCCAGTGCATAATTGTTAATGATATAGAGCTTTGACGAGCACCAAGCAGTGAGGTTAGAGGGGAAGGATGGCTGCAGGTATGGTAGTAAGGGCATGTAAATGTGAGGAATGAGTAAAACAAATTGATGGGATAAAACAGGTTTAGCTTCACCTCTAAAATTGCAAAGGAACTTCATTTCATGAATCCAACAATTCACTTGGATTTTTGCATTGACCTTATTTATTCTGCTCTTTCTGTTAACACCTACCCCTCACAGCCCTCAGAATTAGTTAGCGCAATCTGTCAGAAGAGCAATAGAGGGTTTGTGTAGGACTATGAGAGTGGCGGCTGCTGACCTGTTCATATTTCTCCAGTTCTGTGTGATAGATTTGTCTGATCTGGGTCAATTTGGCTCTGTAATCTGAGTGTTCAATAGAGTTATCTGAAGAACCTCCAGAGGCTGCCGCGGCTGCAGCTGCTGCCGCCGATCCCCCACCTTTCTCAGGACCTGAAACCCCTTCTGCCAAAAGCATATTGTCCAGTCTCATTAGCTGGGGATCGGGAGGGTCCTCCTCCTGGGCTCCTCTGATGCTGAGACCTTCAAGGAAGAGAGAGAAAGACAGAGAGAGAAGAAGCGAGAAACAGGACAAACAGTGTGAGTATTTTATTTATTTGAGTAAATGATCAAACAACATCAGTGCACTACAATTCATTCTGAGAATTTCATTGCTCACATTTTATCAATAAGCATAAGTAAGTATGAAAATTCTTACTTCTGTGAAATTTCTAGTATGACCCTCTCTCAATATATCCCATATTGGATCCTTGGAAAAAAGTAACCCTGGATTCTCAGAATATTCTAACAGCCAATCTTCCCAGTTTTAGATGATTTAAGCAATAATGGAAAGGGGTAAAAAATTCAAGATTTCGAGAAAGAAAAAAAATAATTCCAAGGATATAAAACAAACTCATCAAAAGGTAGTTATTTTGTTTCTCCATACAGTTGGAAAAACAGAAGTTAAAATCCCATAATTAATTCACAAGCTATGTCCAAAAATTAGAATATAAACAGGATTAGATGGGCTTTTCCATCATGTAATTTCAGGGAGAGAAGAGAAATACATACATTATAAGGGTAATTAGCTATGCTTTAAAAATATACATTATTAAATGAATTTGTTAAGCAACTGCCAGCAAACCATAAAACCAGGACACTACATACAGTATTGAAAATACACCATCAACATGGCAATACAGTGCTGGACACAGTAGTCTCAATCTAATTTTGCTTTTAAATCAAGAACTTCCTAAGTGATGCCCAGTCAACAACCTCATCTGAGTACTATAGATCACAGTTGACAATTCATAGGTTTAATCAGGTCACAGGCTTTCTGCCAAGATGTTTTCAACAACACAGAAGACAAAGTTTTAAAGTAATTATCATGGTATAAAAAGCGGTGGAGTCATGACAGCTCAAAATCAGCATTTTCATTAATGTGTAACATAATCTAAAATATCCCAGCCCAATTAACCTCTGTAAATCTGTTTAAAAGCAGGTTCCCCATACTAGTTACAAGGCATCTTGGGGAAGGGGAGGGGAGGAAGTTGGCATTTTGCAGGTCTGCATTTGGTGTCTGCCTTTTGCGTCTGTGCCTGTTGTTGTTTATCCACAGTGGTGCACACTCTGCGTCTAGTGTAACTTAACATGACAGTAACATCTATAAGCTGCCAAGTACTCAACTGAGCACCAGCTCTGCGATTTTATATGCTAACCTAAAACAACCATCAATTCTTTTTAAGAACAGATTTCATTCCTAGATGCCCTGAATTATACCCACAGCATGACAGAGCTCTTGGTTGCCTTAACTCAAATGAACAACTTTAATATCCTCCCTCAAAACACTTTAAAGCTGTCACTTTCATTTAAAAATATACTTCAGAATAATTTCAACTGGGTAATAAAACTAACTCACAATAATTTAAAATTATATCTGTTGCTTATTCAGAGGTAAATAAATAAAGTTTGAAAACCACAACATACTAAGACAATAAATTAATTTAGGGTACCAAAAAGTTAGATGACTCTCTTAAATCAGATAAAATTGGTATCAACACATTGCTGGTAATTAGAGATAGACAAACGTGTATTTGCTATTTCTTCTAGATCTAGAAGAAACTGCCAAATATTGGCTACATTAGTATTTTTAATTTAGCATCTTTGATTTTCTTCCCTTCACTTTGTTAGATGTTAAAATCTCATGGCCTAGAATCTCATGGCCTAGAATGCTTGTAGTTCCACATACCAAGTTTTCTGTGCATTTGGAATGAAGTAAGGACTCACTGAGCAACATCTTATCTTGTACTTTGGACTCTGTTTCATTTTTATATTATTTGTTTGGGAATTCCTTAAGTTTCTCCTTTTTAGACTAAATTTTTGCTCACATTTTTGTATTTGTTGTTTCTTTTTTGTATTTACAGATATTGATGTTTCTCCTGGAAATTTATTTTTTTAATCTACCTTCACGGTTCTTCTGGGTTTCTAGTTTTCCCCTTGTACTTATACATATTGATCTTTTCCTTATGGACATTGGTGAGGTTCTGTAATAGTAAACCAACATACATAGTCAAAGTTATTACACTCCCCTGAACAGTGTGGCAAACAAGAAAAGATGCTCAATGACTAATACACAAGGAAATAGACTATAAGGAAGATAGAAGAAGGAAATTAGTCAGGAAGAAATGCAAAGGACACAAAGTAATCACCCATCTATAGCTCTTTTATACGTACCTAATATGTATATAACACCACCATACCAGTAGGAAGCAGCCCTTAAACTCAACAGTAGTGGACACATATAAAAATAATTATAAGTATGTATTTTCAGCTGGTATAACATTCTCCCCTTGTGATGAATAATAACTCTTACTTCTAAAATCATTAGTAAAAATAAATAAATAAAATCGTAAGTAAATCAACACAAATTTCATATTCCTTTGGATGAAAAGTACTAGAGCACTTCACAGTTAGGCAACGTTGAGAAGGTATTTATCAACACTGAACTCATTTTCATAACTATAGTTGGAAAAGTGACTGGATTTCTTTCTCTATTAAACAGTCATGATTATGAATAACACCCAGTTTCCAAGATTATTTTTAATTTGAATATTTTTATTTATTTTTTTACTTTATATTCAAATTACTATTTTATCCCTCATCCTACCTACCTCACTGTTCCCTAGCTTACTAACCTGCCAAAGTCACACCTTCTGTTATGATGGCTGCCAGTCATAACACCCACTCCTGTAGGCACCTATAAACATCTTTGTGAACCTAAATTTACAAGAGCCAGAATGAATCAAACTGTGTGGTTATCAAAAGATCTTGATATCTTCAAACTGAAACTTGGGAAAACAATCATTTAAAAATTGAACATTGTTGTTTTTAATCCAAAACATACACTGGGACATTTTCAGAGGTTTTACATCTAGGCTCCTTGGTTATCACAGCATTACAAAGTTAAAAAACAACAACCCTATTTGGAATCTACTTATAACTACAACATTCATTTCAGTATCCCTAAGATTTAGACAAATCATATAAACAAAGTAAAACATTGTTTAACAATGAACTTGGCTTTGTTATAGGCCCACAGTTTTTGCATATCTTTCAGCAAATCCTAATTAGCTGTCTTTCAACATGCTGTGCACCTGCCCCACATATAATGGGAGAGAGCATCTGCATAGACGACTGCATTCGGAGGGCAATAAATAAATTACGGGTCAAAATTATTACAAAGCGTTCTCCGAACAAACGCATACCCTTCACAATACTAAGCTGCAGATGTGAAAAGTACCTAAAAGCCCACTCAAATGGTATGATTATGGGGCTGTTTGAGTTTAATAATCTGACTGTAATTCAGGCATTTTCAACAGCTCATTAAGGGTTCATTAATATATAGGCAAGCTTTTGAATTATAAATAAGCAGATTAGAAACCTGCAGTGGCTAGATTGTACAGTAGTAGCCTCTCTAACAGAACAACACTGTAACACAATGAAGGCTTGACCTGAGAGAATGAGGTGCAAACACAGGGCACTAACTAAGCTTCATGGCTCCATCATTTCAAGGACCAAGCCCACTGGACCATGACTAACCTCTGTTCATCCAGGACTGAAGAATAACTTCAGACCACGGCAACTTCAAATGTGTTCTACACACGGTTGTGAATTAGGCATAACTAAGACCTAGCTCTACAATATTTCCAAAAAGAAGACATACAGTAGCCATAGTAATGATGAACAAAAGTTATCAGATTGTTTTTACTTTGTAAAGAGTACAGTATTCAGACCTGCTGAGAAACAAAAAGCTATTATGGAAACTTGAGTTGTTTGATTTTTTTTCCCCTCTAGTGAGCATGCTGTAAAAGTAGATCCCAA